CTAAAAAATTTTAACTTGTGTGTATGGTATTTAATATTGTTCGATATTTTACAAAATCGAGTACTAATTATCTAATAAAGACAATTAAATGTTACAAAGCTAGAAATTTTTATATAATAGGTATCATGTGTCTTAAACAATGAGTTGTGCTATTTTTTATCCATTTAAGTTAAGTAAATTATTTTAGATGTTACTATTTTTAAATCTCCAATTATGTATTACATTATGTAATGTTATGTATTAATTTTTAAAACTAAAAGTTAAGAGGGGCGAAAACATATATATCTAATTAAAGTATGAAAATATTACATATATAGTAGAAAAATTTGAAACTCCAAGGGGGGCGGTCGCCCCCCCACGCCCCCCCTTAAATCCATCCCTGGTCTCAGGAAAAATCGGGAGTTGAGCCTAAGGTGGGAGTTAAACCGGATCTCAATAATAACTGGAAGGGTGGCCAGAGGCTAACACAAGCAGAATTACAAGACAGAAGCAAGAAGGGGCTATGTTTCAAATGCGGGGAAAGATGGGGCAAGGATCATGTGTGCAAAATGAAATACTACCAGTTTATTCTCACAGAGGGGCCTGAGGAAGAAGCAGATACTATGGATTCAGAAGTGAATTTGAAAGAGACAGATATCTCCCTAGAACCGCAACAAATGCAACTGTCAGCCATGAGCAAACAAGGGATCACTACACAAAAGACTTTCAAGTTGGAAGGGAAATTGATGGAAAAGGGGTTACACAGATCTGTGTTGATCCTGATTGACAGTGGAGCCACCCATAATTTCATATCACAAGCCATAGTGGAGGAATTACAATTGCCATACATCCAAATTGATGGATTTCAGGTGGAATTGGGTAATGGGGACAGAGTGAGCAACAATAGGAGGTGTGTGGGATTGCAGGTTGGGGTGCAAGGCCTTAATATTACACAAAACTTCTACCTGTTGGAGCTGGGAGGGACAGATTTAGTGTTTGGGGTTGAATGGCTTGCCAGTTTGGGGAATGTAGAGATCAATTTCCAGGATCTCACACTTCAGTGGTGGGAAGACGGGAAAATAAAGAGCCTAAAAGGGGATCCAACTTTAAATCAAGTGCAAGTTTCCTGGAAAGCACTTGTAAAGGCTATTAAAAATGAAGGCCAAGGTTTTTTTGTGACCTGTGGGAATCTTCAGGGTGAATCTGTTAATGGGGCTGCACCAGGAGGATTTTGGCAGGACGTGTTGGACAAGCATAAGGAGGTTTTTCAAATGCCAGCAGGGTTACCCCCTAAAAGAAGTTGTGATCATGCTATCAACATTAGGGAAGGAGCTGAAATACCTAACATACGACCCTACAGGTACCCTCACTACCAGAAAGATGAGATAGAGAAAATTGTGAAGGAGTTGCTAAATACAGGGATTATCCAGCCCAGTACCAGCCCGTATAGTAGTCCTGTGCTCTTGGTTAAAAAGAATGATGGTAGTTGGAGGTTCTGTGGAGATTACAGAGCCCTAAACAAGATCACAGTGCCTGACAAGTACCCCATACCCATAATTGAAGAGTTACTGGATGAATTGGGAGGAGCCACGGTATTCTCTAAGCTTGATCTGAAATCGGGCTACCACCAGATCAGAATGAAAGAAGAGGATAGACACAAGACTGCTTTTCGAACGCATGAAGGACATTACGAGTACCTGGTAATGCCTTTTGGATTAACAAATGCACCTTCCACTTTTCAAGCTTTGATGAATCAGATTTTAAGGAAGTATTTGAGGAAGTTTGTTTTAGTATTTTTTGATGACATACTTATCTACAGTCCTTCAGAAAGTGAACACAAAGAACACTTGAGTACCATCCTACAATTACTCAAGGACAACCAGTTGTATGCTAATCCTAAAAAGTGTATAATAGGGCAGAAACAACTGACCTACTTGGGTCATATAATTTCTGGGGAAGGAGTAGCTGCTGACCCGGGGAAGGTTAGGGACATGTTGGACTGGCCCGAACCTAAAGAAGTCAAAGGATTGAGGGGATTTCTGGGCCTAACAGGTTACTACCGGAGGTTTGTAAAAGGGTATAGTAAGATTGCAGCGCCCCTAACAAACCTATTAAAGAAAGATGCATTTAAATGGAACCCCGAGGCTTCTCACGCCTTTGAACACTTAAAGAAAGCTATGACAACTCTACCTGTTCTCAGGGTTCCGGATTTTACAAAGACTTTTGTGGTTGAGGCAGATGCTTCCGGGACAGGTGTAGGAGCAGTTTTAATGCAGGAGGGGAGACCTGTGACTTATATGAGTAAGATTTTATCTAAGAGGAACCAGAATAAATCGGTGTACGAAAGAGAATTGATGGCAATCGTACTGGCTATACAAAAATGGAGACCCTATTTATTAGGCAGGGTCTTCGAGGTGCACACGGATCAGAAAAGCCTGCGGTTTCTAACAGAACAGAGAATAATGGGGGAAGAACAACAAAAGTGGGTTGCCAAGCTTTTGGGATACAATTTTGTGATTAAGTACAAACCCGGCAGTGAGAATAAGGCAGCAGATGCCCTCTCCAGGAAGGGTAGTATACACAGTTTGTCCGTTGTTACCTGTCAAGAGTGGGAAGGGCTAGATGAGGAATTGAAGGCAGATCAGAGATATCAGAATATCATACAAAGAGTGATAGGAAATCCAGCTAGTATACCAGATTTCAAGTTCAGAAATGGCTTATTGTATTATCGAGGAAGATTGGTACTACCTAAGCAATCTCCTAGAATACCTCTAATTTTGAAAGAATTCCATGATTCTGCAATTGGAGGGCATGCCGGGGCCTTCAGAACTATGAAGAGAGTATCTGGTTTATTCTATTGGGTTGGCATGAGAAGGGACATACAAGAATATGTGCAAGGATGTGAAGTATGCCAAAGAAACAAGTATCAGTCCCTCAGTCCAGCAGGATTATTGGAACCTTTGCCCATCCCTGACAGAATATGGGCAGATATCAGCATGGATTTTATTGGAGGGTTGCCCAAGGCTCAAGGGAAGGATACAATTTTGGTGATAGTGGACAGGCTAACCAAATATGCCCACTTCATAGCCCTTGTACATCCTTACACAGCCAAGGAGGTGGCAGAAGTCTTCGTTCAGGAGGTGGTACGATTACATGGATTCCCTAAATCCATAGTATCTGACAGGGATAGGGTCTTCTTGAGTTCTTTTTGGTCAGAATTGTTCAGGATGGCAGGCACCAAACTGAAGTACTCCACAACTTACCATCCTCAAACTGACGGACAAACGGAGGTGGTGAACAGGTGCTTAGAAACCTACTTGAGATGTATCACTGGATTGAAGCCTAAACAGTGGCCTAAATGGCTCTCATGGGCCGAATATTGGTACAATACTAATTATCACATATCTATCAAGAATACCCCCTACAAGGCCTTATATGGACAAGATCCTCCCGCTATTGTGAGGGGAGATGTAACTGTGACATCAGTAGAAGAAGTCAACAAGTTGACGGCTGAGAGGAATTTAATGCTAGAAGAATTGAAGAGCAGTTTAGCTATGGCCCAAAACAGGATGAAGCAGCAGACTGACAAACATAGACGGCCCTTACAAGTGGAGGTGGGAGACAAGGTATTCTTAAAAATTCAGCCTTATAAAATGAAAAGTCTAGCTAAAAGGATGAATCAGAAGTTAAGCCCAAGATTCTATGGGCCTTTTGAAGTGATAGAAAAAATAAATCCTGTGGCATTCAAACTGAAACTACCCGAGGGTTGCACAGTGCATCCAGTGTTCCATATCTCTTTGCTGAAGAAGGCAGTATCTCCTAACCTTCCCTGCCAGCCCCTACCTACCTGCATCTCAGAAGAGTGGGAGTTACAAGTGCAGCCTGAAGAGGTGGTGGATTACAGAGTAAATCCTAATGGGGAGAAGGAAGTGCTAATTCATTGGAAGCAGCTGCCAGCTTTTGAGGATTCTTGGGAAGATTTAAACAAGTTTCAGAAGCAGTTCCCAACATTCCACCTTGGGGACAAGGTGGTAGTTCAAGGGGAGGGTAATGATAGCACAAGGGGTGTAGAGTATTTTAATAAAGTGTATGTGAGGAGGGGAATGAAGGGACGGGAGTTTATGTGAGGAGGGGAATGAAGGGACGGGAGTTTATGTGAGGAGGGGAATGAGGGGGCAGGAGTAATTAATGTGCTGGTTTGATTTCTGAATATAAGGAAGGGAGGGGAATAGGGGAGGGCAAGCTGGTATTCAGTTAGAAATGGCTGGGCTTTGGCTAGAGAGAAACTCCTTGTTCCTTCTCTAGATTTGGTTGTTATTCTCTTTATCTTCCCTGTAATCAGTCTGGAGTATTGAGAATTCCTCAATCTCCATTGCTAATAATACGGAAACTGTTTGGTGATATTCTGGTTTCTAACAAAGACCAATAATAGATTATATATGTAGCAAGCTTGGAGCCCATGATATATATGCTCCAGCTTGAGGGGGAGTGTTGGAAATAGCATTTAAAGCATATGTCTTTTTATATTCCAGACTTTCCAGCAGCTTAACTTTTCATTTTCCTTTATGTCTTTCAGTTTTCCTTTGTCCTCCAATGTATCATTTACTTCCCTATATATATGGAAGTCATAATGTATGATCTAATATGAGTAATACAAAAAGCTTCTCTTCCTAAATCAACAGAACATAACCATTATACTGAAAATACCTCTCCACAAGATTTGCCATTTTATGTTTGGACTAGTTATGGATTCTATTAATCTGGGTTGCGAAATGTCTTTAAGTTCGTATGGAGCATTTGTTACTTGGTTATTCACTTTCTTTCTCTGTTGCTCATCATTAAGGTCATACTCATAATTGGTTACCAATAATGATGCTGGTGGACCTGTAATGATTTTCTCAGTATGTATTCTATATTTTGTTTTACTATCATTTGAAGTTTCAACCACTCTTTTATCTCAATATTCTTCAAGGCATTAATCTTTTGTGTTCACTTAATTAGGGTTTATATAAATGTTGCAGGAACTGGGTGTCAACTGTATAGAGCTAATGCCATGTCATGAATTTAACGAGCTGGAGTATTATAGCTATAATTCTGTCTTAGGTGATTATAAGTAAGACTTCACATCTCCTGAAGTGCTCTTAAGGTTGGACCTAGTGTGCATAGCTTCTATACTAGCATATGACTAGATCAGGCCTTTGCTGGCTTTGCATGTTCTCAAGGTTGCGTATCCTATTAAAAATTTGTACCTGAGGCTTCTAGTATGATAGTGGTTTGTGAATCGTGTCCTTTAATCTGTGTGTCTGTGACTATATATACTGTGTATATCTATGCATGCATGCATGCATGTTGCATGTATATATGCATGCATGCATGTATGTATGTATGCATGCATGTATGTATGTATGTATGCATGTATACATATTTTCATGACTTTATGCATGTATGTATGTATGTATGCATGTATACATATTTTCATGACTTTATGCATGTATGTTGTATGTGTGTATGCATGTGTGCAGTGTGCACACATGTGTGAATGTATATATACACGTGCTTGTGTGTGCATAAGTGTGTATGTATGTGTGTGTGTTGTTTCAATGGGTACCACCTGTACATAAGTATTTCTGCTTATAACTAAAATAAAATTAGTAGGCGCATATTTCATTGCAAACATTAAATGAATCATAGAATGATCATTTGATCTTAAATCTAATGTTTTAAATAATTAAATTTGGTCCTTATAAATGAATGAAACTGCACCTATGTATGATATGCGTCTCTGTGTTGCAAACGTCACCCTCAATTGTCTCCTAAAGTTGTATTTGTGTCCTTCATGTTACAGTGTCAGACAAAATTCAGCTCGGTTGACCAAGATTCATAAAGTTATGAGCTGCAAAGCTTTAAGATGAGCCTTTCATATTGAAATCGAAAAACGCAGCAAGGACTTTTTATTTTCAGGGAGGAGATAAATTGTTTAAGTAGTATATGATCATCAACCTTTGTGATATAATGATGTTATTGCTCCTTGCCTCCTTGATATTGATTCTTTGCCAAACTTTGCAGTAGTGGGGTTGAGAAATAGGAAATATCAAGTCTTCTTTGAGATTAAGGCCATTTTGGTCTTGTGACTTTCTAGTTGGCTAGTTGAAGTGTCCATATGTTGTACGTAGTATATATATTGGGAGTCTTTCTCAAATTAAATACAAGGGAAAGCTCTCTTTTCTCCTCTTCTTGAACATGTATTAGAGCAGAGCATTATTGGTCCACCGCTGCTCGCCTGCTCCACTGCTACAAACCCGCGGGTCCAGAGAAAGAGCTCACCTCCAGCGAGATTTTCTGGCAATCCTGTTTTGTTTTTCTATTCTGTTTCCGCCAACTTCATCAGTATCTTTGGTTCCTCTTGTGTTAAAATGGCACTCAAGGAATTTATTGATAAATTATCTCTTGAATCTATACTTTTCCTTTCTCTGTTTTGTCCCTGACAAGTAATAACCCAATTGTAGTCTCTAGAAAGTGATGGGGATTACAAAATTACCTATTTTCCCCGACCCCATTGAATTATGGTTTATGGGCCAAGGAGTTGTTGACCACTAAAGAGGGGGCAAAAAGTGTTCCAGAAAATTCAAAGATAATTTGGGAAAAGGTTGATTCTCAACTGTGTAATTGTTATGGTTTTGTCTATCTCTTGAATTGTTGCCTGTATATATAGCCTTTAGGACACATGTGTATGCGGAATCAAGCTAAGGCCTTGTACACTATTGATATCTCTCACTTTATGTTGAGGCTGTTTGGTTAACCTAAGGAAAGAAGGTACAAGTATGAAGTATGGATTCTATGGAAGTATAGAAGCCTCGAAGTGAAGCTTTTAGGTAAAATTATGCCAATTGGTGGGATAACTTTAGAGCAATTAGTTTAATGCGAAGATTTGGTGTGGTGCTTCTATTGTCCAGTCTTGGTTGATTTTTTTTGAAAATAATCAGATGAAAAGTACTTGAAAGCAATACTATTCCGGGCACCATAATCGTTCAAATGACTCTTGCAAGCTACCTCCCCTGACTTATTCATCTTAGAGGACATAGTACAGTCATCATAGAGAACATAGTGAACATGCTGGGCAAGGAGTGCTTAACATTGGTGCATCGGAATATTGCAAAGAAATGGGTAATTGATGACAGTGGCATTGGAAGCGACATGGAAGATCAATTAATGTGGCTCCAAGTCTCCAACTAATTAAGAAGATTAGAGGATTCAAACTGTATCAGCTACAGAATATGAAGAGGTTGCTCGGTTTAAAGCCAAAGCAGTTACTATTACCCCCAAAGAACTACATCTCCCGACTTGAACATAAGTCGGGAGAATCATTTTTATTCTGTAGTCTTACATCCTCCATGCCTCTTTCTTGTAATATATTTGGAAATAGATCGAAGTATACACCCACTGGAATTGGGGAGATTTTGCCCCTTCTAGGTTTACCTTTGTCTACAGTCTTTTACATATTATAATGTGCTTCAATTCGGTTTATGCCTGTAAGCTTACACAATCTTTAGATTTCATTGTCACATTTCCTGGACTATGTATATGTGGAGGACTGTGGTTTTGGAAAGATGATATGCTCAAGGTATGAATGGACTGTATCGAAAGCCTAAGTCTTCATTCCAACTTGGTGTTCAGACTGCTATTCTTCCTCCACCCCTTGCTCATTATTGACTAGGACATCCTAGCATCAGTAGGTTACAACAACTTGCTCGAAGTTTCCGGCTGTCCATCTTAGAATGTGAAGCTTCTCAATTTGGAAAATGTTATGGGTGTCAATCTTAATCGTTCCAAGAAAAGGTCAAAACGATCATACCACCTTTTTGCATAGTTTATGGTGATCAATGGGGACCGTGTTGTTTTACTTGAATTTAGGTTTTAAATATCTTGTGATCTTTCTTTCATGGCACGTCGATTTTTCCAGTGCACATAAAGTTTGCGCAACACCGGCTTGTGATCTTTCTTGGTTAAACAGATGCAGATTGGGCAGGATGTGTTCGGCATAGAGTCTTTATCATCTGAACTGAAAGTCACATTCCTTCTTGTTATGCTATTGTGATAAAAGTTTGTAGTAAGAACTAGAATAGTAGAATCACTACATTTATCGTCATTAATTATTTTGGTTGACACTTCTCCTTCACTTTTAAGGATTTTTGAGTGCTGATTTGATGCTAGTTGCTTTACCTTTCAACTTATTCTTTCCCTGGAATGTTAATGGCATTGTGATCGACCTTTTGTTTTTTTAGGTTAAACTTTTGGGGCTATTCAACTGTAAATTTCTTTTCTCCAATGGCACGGTATTCATCAGCTAGGATGGACAAATCTGGTCCTGGTGCCATACAAGAGTTCAAGTTTCTTGTTAGGGAGGCCCATAGAAGGGGAATCGAGGTGAAAGCTCCCTTTCTCGATCTTTCATTATTTTGTGTTGTGTTCTCCTGAACTCTTCTACTTATACTCCACCAGGTAATCATGGATGTTGTTTTCAATCACACAGCAGAAGGGAATGAGAATGGCCCCACACTCTCATTTAAAGGCGTTGACAACAGTATTTTTTATATGCTTGCACCCAAGGTATATAATCTTGGTGTCTATCTTTTAGCATTTGTTATCTTATTTTTTGGCATAGAAACCAATATTTAGGCCGTGCTATGCAAAGTATGCTTTTTCTGATGCCGTCTCTTATGAATTCTTAAGAGCTCAATTTTTTCTGCTTCTTTGCCTTCCTTTTGTGCTTCTGCATACTATTTTTCACTGGATTTGATTAAAATGTTGTTGTTCAGCGCTAGAGATTTTCATCATTTGTATTAAATAAGCATCCTATTTTACATAGCCTGTACAGATTTATTCAGACAAATCTTTTATAAGATGATCTTTAATATTACTACTTTTTTATATTAACACCAACTTTCTCCTGTTCCAATGGATAAGAACCTTACTGTCATGAACTTTCAAACGTGTGCCCAGTGCCCTAGAACATTTCATGCTTCACGTTCTATCAATCGTGGTTTCTTTTCCCTAACATGTTTCTCAACATCCATTTTGAAAAGGTTAAAAAACAAAAGAAATTACTCCCTCTGTACCATTTTGGTTGTCTTACTTTCCTTTTCGGGTTGTCCCAAAATGAATGTCATGTTTCCCTTTTTGGCAAGAAATATGTGGTCTTTATCATTTCACTTTATTCTACTTAAATCGCAACCTAAACTTTTACTTTTCGACCACTTAATTAATAATCGTGCCAAACTAAAACAAGACATCCAATATGGGACAAAGGTAGTACTCCGTATCAAACTTTGGATTATGCTTCTCTTTTCAGATTAATATCTTTAGTTTTTTTTCACTCGAAAAGACTTATTTTTTGCTCCTTTGGATGAAATAAGGATTCAATATTTTATAATAATATAATATGATACCTTTTATATTGTACTGTCATAGTAGTCAATGGCGAGATATGGTATGCGCCATATGCGCCATCGCCATGAAAAAGTGGTCGTCGCCATAGCGCCAGATCGGAAGTAGTCAATGGCGCAAATGGCGATCGCCATGTCTCGCCTTTGGCGATTCAGGGGGTCCTCGCCACTATTTTTGGCTATGGCGCACAGGTTACAGGTTGCGTTGCCAAATGTGCGCTATCGCCATTTTGCGCCAAATAATGGCGCTATCGCACGCGTCTGGGTCGCGACTTTGGTTCGATGGTTGTAGTCGCTGTAGCTGGTCTCCGTTGCAGTTGCTGTAGCTGGTCGCCGTCGCTGTAGCTGGCCGCGTCACCCTCGATTGTTGCTGAAACTGGTCGCAGACTCTAATCGCACGCAGACTCTGGTCGCCTTAGAGGGACCGTCGTACGAATGATTCAACCAATTACCCGAAGGCAGCATCGATTCGTGGCAAGAACTCGGCCAGCGTTTCTTGACACAGTTTGCGGGAAGACGCCGAACAAGAAAACACTTCTCCCACTTGCTAACAGTGAGGCAGAAGAGGGAAGAGACCCTTCGGGACTTCTTGGAACGTTGGAGGATGGATGCAGATAAGGTTGACGACGCCGATGACGGGACCCTCCTGGCCCTCCTACAAACCGTCCTCCGCACCGGGAACTTCTCAAGGAGCCTCATCATTGAACCCCTCGCGATTTTATAAGGGCCCTGCAGCGGGGGGACCGGTACGCCGAGGCCGAGGAGGTAGAAAAATGCCATCACAACCCTGATCAGCAATGCCCTCGGCGAGATGACAAAGGCAACCGGGGCCGGGGGCTCCCCCAAATCAATCCAAGGTTTCGGCACCCCCCAGTAATCGCCCCCGGCATGGCCAAGTCAAGCCCAGGGGAGGTTACAAGGGAAACCCGAAGGCTTGGGCCCAACCCATTCTCTTGGAGCACCCTCGGACTCCCTTGACACACCCCGTCAGTGTCATCCTAGACTTCACCGAGGAGAGGGGCCTTGTGGAGCGCGACTCTCGCGCACCCTTGGAGGTATACGCCATCAACCCCAATTATCCATAGTGTCGGTTCCATCGCAACCAAGGACACAACACCGATGACTGCCATCAGCTGAAGACGACCATTGAAAGGTTGATACAGACAGACCACCTGTCCCAATTCATCAGAGGCCCTCCGCCTCAGGGGACCCCTCACTACCAGGGCCCCCCTAAGAAAGCAAACGATTGGGTCAACCCAAACACCATCCCCATCGGCGACCCGAAGGGTAAGCAAAAGGAGATTGGAAACCTCGATGACGAGGAGGAGTACCGCCAGTACCAGGAGAAGAAGCGCCACATCCATATGATCACTTGAGGTAACACAGGGGGGACTCCACCAGCCAGCGGAAGAAGTGGGCTCAATCGCTATACGTGGGGAAGTCACTCATATGCCCCCGGTAAAGCGGCTGATGGAGGAGCCCATCACATTCACAAATGCCGATCTCCCCCCTGCTTCCTCTCCTCACAGGGATGCTTTGGTGATCCAAAACTAAATAAACAACACCATCATTCATCGAACTTACATTGACACGGGCAGCTCCGTCAATGTAATGTACCTCAGCACATTCAGAGAGCTGCATCTGGAGATGGGGTCCCTTCGGCCCATAAAGACCCCTCTTGTTGGCTTCACCGGAGATACCATTGATTCTGAGGGGGTCATAACCCTCCCGGTACTATTCGGCGACGGGCTCCATAGAGCCAAACTCGAAGTGGAGTTCATCGTTGTCAACATCGACTGCGCCCACAACATCATCCTCGGCAGACCAGCCCTCGAGGACCTCGAAGCCATCATCTCCATGAAGCATTTGTGCCTCAAGTTCCTCGCTGAAGGAGGCATCGGATACTCAAGGGGGAATAAAAAACTTGCCCGCGCTTGCTACCTTCAAGTGACAAAGAAGTTTAGTAAGCCGAGTTCCGTGTTGACACCATCACCGGGACCGTGGAGGAAGAAGAAAAGAGGTCGAGGGCTGAACCTGCCGAGGAAGTAGAAGACTTCGCGCTCGACCCGGCCAAACCGGAGAGGGTCGTGAAGATTGGAGCCAAGCTCCCCGAAGACTTGAAGACCGGCATCACAGATGCCCTCCGCGCCTACTCCATTGTTTTTGCATGGGGGCCGAAGGACATGCCCGGGATCTGCCGAAGGGTCATCATATCACCCATCACATCTCGGTGGACCCTTCGGTCAAACCTGTACAACAACGAAGAAGGCCCCTCTCGGCCGAGAGGATGGGATTTTGTGAAAAAAGAGGTTGCCATGCTCCTCTCCATGAAGCACATCAAGGAGGTGAAATACCCCTCATGGCTGGCGAACGTAGTCCTCGCGCAGAAACCACCCACCTTCCGCATGTGCGTGGATTACACGGATCTCAATAAGGCGTGCCCTATGGACCCCTTCCCTATGCCAAATATTGATCAATTGGTGGATGAAACGGCGGGGTGCGAGATCATGTCATTCCTCGACGCCTTCCGCGGATATCACCAAATTTTTATGCATGAGGAAGACGCTGAAAAAACAACCTTCATGACTCCCGAATGCATCTTCTACTACTTGGTCATGGCCTTCGGCCTAAAGAACTCAGGCGCCACTTACACCTAGATGGTGCCCAGGGTCTTTCAAGCCGTCCTGGGGCGCACCATGGAGGCCTATGTTGATGACATGATTGTCAAAAGCAAACAATCATCAAGCCATGCTGACGACCTCCGGGAGATCTTCGCCATCATGCAAAAGTTCAACCTTCGGCTAAACCCGAAGAAATGTACCTTCAACGTACGAGGAGGCAAGTTCTTAGGCTACATGGTGAGCCGAAGGGGTATCGAGGCCAACCCCGAGAAAATCCAGGCCATCATCAACATGGAGCCTCCACGCAACGTGAAGGAAGTCCAACGGTTGACGGGCCGCCTGGCAGCCCTCAACCGCTTCCTATCCAAATCGGCGAAGAAGTCTTTACCCTTCTTCTAGATCATGAGGAAGACCACCGGCTTCCAATGGACTTCAGAATGCCAGGAGGCCTTCGGCGAACTAAAACGGTATTTATCTTCACCCCCTGTGCTCTCCAAACCCAAGGTAGGGGAAACTCTATACCTTTACCTTGACGTCAACCCGACTGCCATCAGCTCAGTGCTCATCCGGGAGGAAGATGGCGTCCAACATGTCGTCTTCTATGTTAGCAAGACCCTCAGGGAGGCTGAGTCAAGTACTCTTCTGTGGGAAAAACGGTGCTGGCCATTGTCTGGACCGTCAAGAAACTAGACCACTACTTCCAAGCTCATCCGGTCCAGGTCCTCATGCATCAACCCCTCGGCGCCTTGATGAGGAGCCCCACCAGCTCCTTCCGGATGGTAAAATGGGCTATCTTCCTCAGCCAATACAACATTGACATCCGTCCGAGGCCTGCCATAAAGGGCCAAGCCCTGGCGGACTTCGTGACGGAGTGCACGGCCAGATCAACGGTGGATGAGGAGTCCCATGCAACAGCAGACACTACTCTACTCCTTTTCACCACTTCACACGTGCCTCAAGGAGTGAGGGACTGGAAGACCCCTCAGGAAAAACTCAAAAAGGCAAATTATCAAAAATCTCCCCAAAACAGCAACCCAATCCCTCAAATCCCAGAATCTGGGGGACTGAGGGACTGCCTTCGGCAAAATGTGCAAACAACAACTCCTCACAAACTCCACAAATTACAGAGCAAAACGCCATCATTAGAGGACAAAAGCATTTTACTCATTTTTCCTCAAGTACCTTTCGGCAAAAGGAGTGAGGGACTCCTGATGGAGTATATGGCCCAGGAACCCCCGGTCCATAGACTCCCACTATTCTAATACAGGCCCAACGGGCCCAGGAAGCACAACAGGCCCAAGTCACTGCTCCCCAAGAGACAGGATGCCCACGCTGCCCACGCAGTCGCCTTTGGTCCCCTGCCCGAAGGCCCCAAAATCTCACAGAACACCTGTTTTAGGCTTACGATGTTGCTGGGAGAAGACGGTGAAAACAGTAGCCCTCGGCACCTAGAGCCCTCGACACCTAGAGGCCCCCGAGATTCGATATCCTTCGGCTAATTATCTACGGCCGAAGGCATCTCCTCGACAGAATCTCCCACCCACATGGGTTGGATCAACGTACCGGGTACCAACGTCACATCCAACCACTGCATTTAATGCGGCCATATGCGAATGCCAATGCCACCCTGTTGAGGTGACCCCTCGACCACCAGAATGATGACACGTGTCCCTATCTAGCATTTATTGCTGCTTAAAATATCACATCTTTCCCCATTTGTAAACCACGCTGAATACGCTCAATATCAATATACACTTTCTCTCTACTTTTGCTCTGACTTGTCTCTAAGTTGCTCCCGCAGTAACCCCTCAGATAGATACCCCGGGTACACTTATCCATCAGAAGTGTAAAGATAATTTTGGTACTGATAAAAATGGAAAGTGTAAAGATCTTTCAGAACCGGAGGGAGTACGTAGTAATAACTTTTTACTTTACTGTTATGGATTGATCGGAGCTACTCTCCGTCCCTAAATGTTCTTCCAAATTAAAGTGGCATGGTGATTAAGAAAGTTAGAATTGTGTGGTGGAGAGTTGTGCAGAGAAGAGAGAAATGCTATGAACCAAAGTGAAATTTTTTTTTGGGACGGACTAAAAGGGAAAGTTGAAAGTAAATTTAGAGAAATTGAGTATATGTTTCACCGTACCCAAACTCACCGATCATCATTTTCTTACCAAACCTGCGGCACTGTCCTTCTACAACGTATCTCGTTGCTTGATTTTGCAGTCCAAGAAGATTGTGAGATAGAATTGAAGAAGAAAGAAAAATAAAAGATGGGTGGGGGGATGGAAACTAACAAGAACAAGTGGATCGAGGAATGGTCGTCTGCTCGGGAGAATCTGGAGCACAACTTCAGGTGGACAAGGCGCAACTTTGCCCTCGTTGGCATCTTCGGAATCGCCGTGCCTATCTTGGTCTATAAGGGCATCGTCAAAGAATTTGTAAGTCCCTTTGTTGTGGTCGGTATGTGTATGAAACATTTCGAATTTGTTTCTTCTTAGCCCTATTTCTTGTTGATCCTGATTTCTCTACTTTTATTGAACTTGGAAAAGGCTTGCCTCTACTCTATCATAACTAGGCTGTACGACAAGGTTAATAAGATTTGGAAGATAAGAAATTGCAGACAGTGTTTGCAAAAAAAGAAAAAGAAAAAAGAAATTGCAGATAGTTGGGTGAGGTTGCCATGAAGTGAGGAAGAAGAAGAAGAAACACTGTGATAAGGTGAAAAAAAGTAAAGAGAATGGAATATTAAAACACAGAGTCTGCTAAATTAAACCACTGCTAATCCGGAAATATATGCCAGCTTTCCATTAGCTGATTTCACTGGCTATTCTGGAAACTAGATTCTTCACCCTTCCTTCACACGGGATGCAGCATTAGATGTGGATTCTTGACTACAATGTGTGTGTGTGCCTTTAACACTGATTATTTTGTTGTTGACAGCATATGCAAGATGAGGACTGGGGCAGGCCGCATAGGAAATTCTTGTGAGTCTTTTCAGAGCTTTGTGTTATGCTTTTGGGGAGAACCAGAGGTGTGACTGCTTCAGATCTCTTCAGCTTGTTGAAGTAATGGTTTAGCTACTCTTAATAATTGAAACTTCGTTCTAAGGCATACTGTGATTATCTCAGATGCATTTCCATAACTTTCAGCATTTGAACTGCTCGGTGTGATACTCTATGACTAGGTTTTCATTTGAGTTGCAAGCCTTGCTTTAATATTGCCTTTGTATGAGTTGTCATTCCATATAAAGGGAACTGTTTTGTAGATAAAATATAGAGAGAATTCCCTAAATAGGATCAAAAAAGTTTTGAAATTCCAAAATAGGACTATCATGTTTTTATTCCCTGAATAGGAGTAAATTTCTGCCAAGTTTGGCATTACTAGGATTTAAACATGACATTTTTTCCAAACTTGGCAGAATTACTCCCATTTGGGGAATAAAAACATGAAAGTCCTATTTTGGAATTTCAAAACGTTTTTACTCCTATTTAGGGCAATTTCTATAGAATATATCTTCATTAGGACTAAGAGGCACAAATAGGGGTGGGCACAATTCCGGACAGGCATCATCCCGTGTTTTTAATTGGAAGCCAAGCTGGTTGGTTCTTTAACTGGGTAATTTTAGGCCTGGTTCATAAAAAAAGTCTCCTTCTGGTCTGTTGTGGATCTGGATCTAGTTTTCTGTATTTTCAAATTAGGCGTGAAAACAGGGCAGAAACCAATCTGGGAATCGAATCCAGAATCATTGGTTATAACCAATCTAAATTGAATCAGGCTTTTACCACGTATGGCTGTATGTCCACCCTCAGCCACACAAAACTGTTTTTGGACATGAAAGTTGTGTCGTTGAGATTTATCCAAGAAAATAAGAGTTAATACCAATCACATAACAATATAACATTATCTTAAAAAGACAATAAAAATAACATTTTAGGATGAACAAAGAGGATGGGGGAAAGAAAAGTTGAGATAGAACCATAGTGGGAGACTAGGAGTATATATTATTTTGACACACATGCACACTTCTATTCAGTTATCATATATAGTAAATGGGAAAAAATCTCATTAATTCATTATTGGTTTCATAAATCATAAGAAATACAATAATATTACAGGTTATTTTCACTGGTCAGAGAATGGATATCAGTATGTAGCATATTGTTATTTTTGGGTTCTAACCGGGTCTCCTGGACTGCAAACTTTAAAGTACTTTTGATTATGTAACCATATAAGCAGCTTGGTAGAAACATTTCTTAAAAGCATCAATGTGGTTAGTCTGAAAAGATAGAGCAACACGCAATGACCCGTCCCCCTCACGGCTAGGAAGGATCAAAATGTCCCCATCACCGGTATGGTTGCCAGGGCCCATATGAATCTCTTCTCCCCACCCAAAATCCAGTCCATGCAGGGGTAGACTCATCCAACTTATCACATTAAGGTTTGGGTTCCCACTAAATGGTAGTTCTTCCTTTCGTCCACGAGTCACCCCTTTCAGGAAACTTATTGCAGAAGTCACGCATTCCGGTGTGACATTGTCAATGGTCTCGTGTATCATACGTGCCACCTGCCCTAATGGCATTGAAATGACCTCCCCTGAGACTCCATGGGTCACAACATCAATGACTGCATTGCCAAAATATGAATTGTGCAATGGTGGATCCATCCGTTTTCGAATATCGACCGACATGGTTAGGTTAGTTGGTTGGTCCGCTTTATGGTTGCGTGCCATGCATGCACACTTCCAAATGTGGGCGGTGATCACCTCGTATCTAGTGTAGTTTGCTCCACCAACTTTTTTTAGTGTTTCAATTTGAGGTTTGCTCAATCTTAAGACACACTCTTTAGTTTCCTTCTTCTTCTCATTCTCATTGCTTGATTCACCGATGATGAGAGGAGGGCCGCCAAAGTTGTAGTAACTGTAGTAGTAGCAATGTTCCAAAACAGCCATATGGTGGATGAGAGGATCTTTGTGGGCCTGATGTAATACTTCTCGGTCAATAAAAGGGACAACACTAAGTGGTTTGCCACGTGCAAGTCGAGCCCATTGGTGGAGAAAGTTGGAGGTGCCTAGACCATCACTCACAACATGTGATATTGCCAAACCAAGGCTCCATCCTCCACATCTGAATTTGGTGAGCTGCCCAATGAACAAGGGCATTTTTTGAATGGGAGGAGCTGTGTAGTAGTCGGCACTAGGAACCAGTTGATCAAAATCTGGTTGTGGATAGAAATCCCCGAGTTCGGATAGTACGCCGTCAGATTCTGCCTCAATGAGGATGACTCCCTCAGAGTTGCAGTCGAGCACAAGATGACAACCTGTAGTCGTGTTGTTGTTGGTTGTCCAATTCAACCGACCAGCCATCGGGTAGAAGTGGACTAACACTTGACTGAGAGACGATTTTAAGGTTTCCATGAGGGATTCTGGTGGCTGTGGAGATGTGGCGTAGAAGTAGATGGTGGGGACATGCATCATGGTTCCTGTTTGATCAAGTTCGGATAATTCAAGAATGCCATTCCATGTTGGCTCTGATGGTTTCACAATAACGTTTGAACTCTTTACGCACACCTTCATAATTTCTATGCATATAATAATAATAGCAGAATGTTTTGTTTGGGATGTTTGTTTTTTGTGTACGTGTATTTATAGGTTTAGCATCTAATATTAGCTAGCTAGTGAATTCTGTTTGTTGTGACCACGTTTTGTGGGAATGTGTTGAAACACAATTCATGTGAATTGAGCCGTGTTCGTAAGGAGAAGATGTATATAAATTTAACTCAACAAGATTTATTGTGCTTCAAATAGGTAAGAATAAAATGCATTAAGTTTAAAACTTATACTCCCTCCGTCCCTCCCTTTTTATTTAGCCAGATACTATATTTTTTTATTTTTTTTCAAGTCAATGAAGTTCCACTTTGACTGATTATATATTTATACACGGTAATATTCATAATATGAAAATGATATGAAAATGTTTTTTGTAAAAGTATTATTATAAAAGTATAAATTTATTAAGTTTCACATAAATATATTAGTTAAAATAATGGATCAAAGATTATCATCTTTGACTTTCAAGTCAAAAATGGCTAAATAAAAAGAGATGGAGGTAGTAGAATTTAAAAGTCAACAATTTAAAAATAGAAAAATGTGATGACAATGTTTAAAATAAAGTTAACTTTTTATGACATCACACGAGTGTGCTATTTAAAACATCAAAGGAGGATATATTAAAATGAGATTAAATGGCTCTAAAAATGGCACAAATTAAACACAATTGATGAAAAACGCATTGATAATTGTATTTTTATATTAAAATGAATTTTATGTACAAACAAAAGTGCGTTATTTGAACATAAAATTAAGGTGAAATGACCACCAATAATCTCTACTATTTCACATTTTATAAAAATATTCTCCGATACTGGATTTGTTCACAACAATAATCTAACTAATTAATTGCTTCACAAAAATAAAATGAAAATTAATGGTTGGCCTTGAGAGCTGCCTCGTAAATCTAAATCTAATTAATTATCGCTTATTTTTACCTTAATTGGATAGTATCATAACAGAAAGGCTCAAATCAAAACATATCTGACCAGATAGAAAAAAGTTCGTATTTTCTTCATGTTTTAAAATCCATCTAGTATAATTTTATATAATTAAGAATACTAATAAAACTAATGTGATTGTCTGATTTTTTTAAAGCAATCACATGTTAATTTATTAAAATAGAATGTGGGTTAAATGAAGTTATTGACCTCATGCTTTGCAGAAGTTGAAGAGTTTCAGTAACCATACAAATTAATTCATTATATTTTTATCTGTTTATAAATCGAAAAGGCCCAAGGATCGGCTCTCTTCTCATCGTAGTGGAGCCTCTTCTCGGTATATGAGCTTCTCTCTGTTGCAAGTTGTCCACAATTCGGGAAGAATTTAAAGACCGAACAAGTTTCGAAGCTATTGAAAACATGGCTTACATTCACGGTGACGGTGGTCCTAGCAAGTCTAGGTTTTCGGCGGGCGGCGCTATAGCTTTCTTGGTGCTTCAGTGTCCCGGAGTTTTGATAGTTTTCTCATCTGGAGCACAGGGTGGAGCGCGGGAGCACTCAGATTTGGAGGATCTTGGCGAATCTCCATCGCAGCTCAAGGGAGATGATAGAGATCTGGAGAATGTTCGTGTTTGGACTGGTTGTGCTCGTGCGGTATGCTGGCCAAGAGATGGAGGCGGCTCACAGGCAGATCGTGGTGTTGAAGGAAGAAGATGAAGGAATGAAGATCCGTCCCCCTCCTGAACCGCCGCCATGGAGGATGACGCTTGAAGTATGGATTCAGTTGCTCCATAAGTTTATTTTATTTAAACATGTTTTACTCTTTGAGTTGTTTAATTATGAACCATGTTGTTATTGTTATTTCAAACACTAAGGGGCTAGGGTTTTTGCTTGTTTTATTTCATTAGATAGGTTTCTGTTGGGAGGCAATCAGGCTAACTCAGCCGCTAATAGTCTCTTTGCTCTCACCGTTTCAGCGATTAGTCTCGCTCTATCCGGGGTGGACTATTCTATGTCTCATCATGACGTAAGGGGCCGATGTGCTTTAGGTTTTGTTTGGAGAGAGTGAAATGTAGGTCTTGGGACATGCTGTTTACTTGGTTCGTTTGATTTTAATATAAGCTATTTCCTTTCAAAAAAAATTCGAAAAGGCCCATGCTATTTATATTTTTTTTATTATTTTTGTAAGAAAAATGAAGTAAATGGAGTTATAAGTCACGACATAAGTAAGTTTTAAAGTAAGTGTAGAATTTTGCAGCATCACCTTCGATTTCAAAAACCCTTAAATAATGTGTTCAACTATTTTTTTTATCAAAAGTATCATAAATTGCATGAATTTCTAAAGTGTTGAGTGTCGGTATTTTATGTTTGGAATCTTGAGTTGATGCGAGAGCCCACTCATCAATTCAATGATTCCAACGTAACAGTGAATATCTGTGGTCAAACACGGCTGTAATATACGGATATGAATAATGATCATGTTATTCAAAAGTATGTGATCTTCAAGTTCGAAATGTACAAAAAACATGAGTTTTAAAGCGTGCTTAATGTTTTTTTTTATCAAAATCAGACAATAATTTTTTGAGTGATATATATAAGTTTGTTATTTAGTTGTTTCCTCAAAAGTGTCTTGTTGAAGAAAGTTTGAGTTTTAAAATACGGCAAATAACTTTTATCTTCAGAATATTCTCAACCTTTTAAAATTTAAATGAGATTCATAAAGTGCTGTATGAGGATTTCAATAGAATAAAGAATATGTAATCTCAAGCTCTTTCATTATCAAGCTTCAACCGCTCAAAGGCTTACTATGCGATTTTTGATCGAGTAAAATATAATGGGTGAAGTCCTAAAACAAACGCGTTCATACAAAACAAGTCTATTTAGATCCACTGTTAAAGTTTTAAATAAATACCTCCTTCAAATTTATACACTAAGAATCAATAGACAAAAGGACATGATGTCTTTCTATCCACTATACTACCCCAAGCTATTCTTTTTTAATTGTTTCATTAACCATATTGTCGTTCTAAATTTACCTCTAAAATAGGTTTAAAAAGCTATGCAACTTCAAAATGAATGAGTTTTTGTCTCTATAATCTCCAATTTATCAATTAATTTTTTATAGCGGATTTTTTTTTGATAAATAAGCTAAAAGTCGTTGTCGAGTTGGATATATAAAGTAAAATATTAAGAACACTTTACGTTGATTGAAGAATAACCGACGAAAACTTTTGTACGAGACAAAGGTAATACCGCATAATATCATTGAATATATAACAAAAGTGCTTACCCTAAGTATTATAGTTATTTGATTATTATGAAAAATGCTCCCATTTTTTTAGCTTTGTGTTATTATTAGTTTTATAGTAAGGGGTTAATTTGAAATTAGTGTACTTATAGCTTTTAACATGACAATTGAGTCTATTTTTAATTCAAGAACTAATGATCAAGTTATGTTTTTATCTCATCTTCAATGATTGAGTATAATCATTTATCATAAAAAGATATTATGTAATCCACAAAATTATATGAGGTGCATAGATTCTCCTCCTCTAATAATTACTAACCTAATTAACGAAGTATAATAATCAGTATATGTCTATACGATTACACTACTACACTCTTGTATACAGACAATAGCAGCGTATTACAATCATTCCTGGTATATACATTTAACGCACATGTCATGTCATTTCATTCTTTGTCACGTGTTTGGCTTCATACAATCATACGATCAGAATGCTCTTACAGGTCACCACTGTCAAATTCTCGAGAGTCTTGAATAGCCGGACTACACATTTTCAGGATTACACTCCGAATCTGTATGTACTCCTCCTCCTACTACGAATCATATAGAGCGGAGGTCTTTTGAGTAGATTACCTGCTCAATTCCGGAATGGAGTTGCTTTGCTCCCCTTCAATCTCAGCTAACGCTCCGAAACTCCCCTCCAGAGGCCCAAGCATGGACAAAACTGGATTGACATCCCGGAGTTCGCATCTTTACTTTGCCGGACTTGGAAGAAAGGTGAAGCCTTTACTAGTTGCTGTTAATGGGGTCATCGATGGAGGGGGTGAGTCAGAAACGGCCGTTGTGGTGGAGAAACCTCCGCCGTACGAACTACGTCGTCCTTACGAGCTTTTCGTAGGGCATCCGACTCCTTACGGCGCCACTGCTAGAGACGGCGGGATCAATTTCGCTATCCATTCGTGCAATGCTACGTCAGCAGCTCTCTGTTTGATTAGTGTAGCCGACTTACCCGAGGTGCCTGTTTCTGAATCTTATGCGTTTTCAATATATGCTTCGTTTGGAACTCAAAACACACACGAAAATACCAGAACGAAAGAAAAAAAGATAAGTTCAATTTCGATAAATTAAATTTTATTAAATTCATCAATGGAAAAGTTTCATAACAATAACTTAGCAACAACCCATAGGAAAAAAGTACTAATTTTTTAGTTTTGGACCAAAAAAATACTAACAGTCAACCTGCAATGTTGATCAATGCAGTTATGAACAGGCAATTGGCCAATGAGTCTTGTCCAAAATTTTATACTCCATAGTTAACGTTTATGTCCAATTAATATGTAATTAGTTCGAGTCATATTCATGGTACAGATCTCTTCATACATTTGTAGTGACCATTTTTTATATATAATTTTTTATATAAAGATTAAGAAATCAAATAATGTAAAAATATATAGAATAGTTTATTTAGATATACTCTTTCGTGTTTTTAAAAGAAATATACTAAAACCAAAGAAACAAAGAATGAAATTTCTTGATATTTTTTTCACCTAATACTTTTCATTTTTTCAAATTCCAAACATAGCCTTGGTCAGTAACTTGGAAAATGTTATGGGAAAAACAAAATAGATAGGAAATAGGGAGTAAAATCGCAACTTTGCAAAAATAAATTTAAAGAAATTTTTAAAAGAACACGTACAAAGTCAATAAATCAGTGCATGTTACTACATACTCATTTTAAGTATTTATTATGAAACTTTTAAGGAACTTATTATGTATCATAATTGATTTTTTCCCTATTTCCTAACACTTTCTTTATTTACTTAACATTTCCTGGGTTCCAAACATGGCCTGAGATTTTCCAGATACAATGAAGGAGCCCTTTCCTTCCATGAAAATAATTACTCCCTCCGTCCCTGAAAATACTCCCAACTTTCCCTTTTCGTCCGTCCCAAAAAGAACTTCTCTTTCCTTTTTTGGCAAAGAATTTGTGGTTCACAGCATTTCTCTCTCCTCTGCACAACTCTCCACCACACAATTCTCACTTTCTTAATCCGCGTGCCACTTTATTTTGGAAGTAAATTATGGGACGGAGGTAGTAGAAAATAAGGGAAAATGATGTTTTTTTCATCACCGAAAGGATACATGAGGTCTGAATTGACTTGTATTGAGTTAAATTGCCCTCCTACTGAGTAGGCTTATGATTCCAAATTGTTTTTTAGCCTTAAATTCATGTGGCCTTCTTTTCAAACTGTGCTTCAGTAATTGCTTATTTTCTGCTGCAGAAAAAGGTGTCAGAGCAAATTTCTCTGGATCCCTCTGTTAACAAGACTGGAGATGTCTGGCATGTGTTCATTAAAGGAGACTTTGATAACATGCTATATGCGTACTGCCTTGATGGCAAGTTTTCTCCTGCAGAAGGGCATCGCTTTGATTCAGCTAAGATACTGTTAGATCCTTACGCAAAGGTTCATAGCTGTAAAACTTCCTAAATCAGAAATGTTCTTTGCTTACATTATTTTCTTGATATACCGTTTTTCACAGACATGCTGGGTTTGCTACTAATTTCTATATAGGCTATTGTAAGCAGAGCAGAGTTTGGCGCTTTGGGACCTGAGAAGGACTGTTGGCCCCCAATGGCCTGCATGCTGCCTTCTACTGATAAGGTGCTGTGATTCAATAGGTTGTATTGCAATATTGATATTCCTAGTCCTTATTATCATATGTACTTCAATGGTAAGACTGAGAATAGAGCTTCTATTGAGCCTAAAACACAATAATGAATGATGAATTTGGATTCTCATCCTTTTTTGATTTGGGCTTTTCTTGATTTATTTATTCGTAAATAAGGAAAAAGGAGATAATGCTGAGGACTTCTGCATCTTATTTCTCGTGAGTTTGATAAATAAGTATGTAATGTAAGGGCTGTTTATTTCAAGTAACTACTAGCAAACTTGACTTTAGAGACCAAAAAACAGGGACATGAAGGGTTAGAGACCAGAAATACAAACATTGAGGCTTAATAAAATGCAAGTGGCTCGACAAATATGAAACTTCAAAGGTTTTGTGTAAAGGGCTGTAAATTGTTGCTACACGACTTTTATGTCAGCAGTGATATTTCTAGCTTAATTTTCTCTGATGCCCCTATCCTTTGGTCTTTGTTATTCCCTCATGCATTTTTCCTTTTGTCTTTTCCTTAACTTAGTTTTGCTTTGCCACTAACGCTATGGCTCCTGTGGCCGAATATTGAATCAAAGGTAAATGACCTTAGAATCGGAGGTCGGTTTGTAACCCTAAAGTAGACATGCTATCAAGTCATGTGTATTTCAGAATCTCACATTCATACATCCCCTCAAGTTGGAGTATATATATAATATACTCTGTATTACTCTCCTGTACAGCCTATATGTCATTTAGTAAGATATGATAATTTGCAAAATAATTGACACTAATAGGATTTTGGTCAATCTCTCCAAATTACCCTATAGTTAGATGACAACACTTATGATTCATTTTCCCATTCAGCACCGGGATTCAACTATTAGTAATCAGAGTACTACTATCAGACATCTGGCTCTACAGTAAAGACTAGTTTTACTGGGAATGTAAAGAGAACAAACATTGATTAAGGTTATGTTAGTTACTCCCTCCATTCCACAGAACTTTTCCCAGTGACTGGCACAAAGTTTAAGAAAATGAAGGCTGTATGGCATATACTCATTTAAAAGAGAGGGAAACAATATGAACCCCATTTGTTTCTCTTAAAAGGAAATGAGAAACTTTTCAGGATGAACAAAGAGGAAATGAGAAAGTTTTCAAATAACCTGATTATGTGTTCATTTTAATGCATCCGTGTTTTTGAAAATGTTCAGTTTGGTTAAGGTATGGTTTTTTAACTTTAGTAAGACGTAACAATAATTTTAAATCATTACACATATGTTAATTTTTTGTGCTCATTTATTAGTTCCTAAATGTATCATATGTAATATGTATGTGACTAATTTGTGGCAAATTGCAAAATTAGCTTCGTCTCATCAAATGTGACTTTTTTGGGAGAAAAAGTATTTGAAACATGGCTCTTTTTTCACAGAATCATATGACGATTCCGTACACTATGATACTTCATAAGAAAGACGTTTTAGTGTATATGCAAACATTCAGTAACACTAAAGCAAAACTCAGAAACAGAATCTATATAATCAGTAATTACCACAATCTAGAGTGGATTAACACTTAGTTGAGTTGTATCTCGTTTTGGCATTCATCCATACTTTTGTACCTTGATAACAACTTTTGCTGATCCAATTTATAATATATAAATCTGATAGCATGGTGATGCTTTATCTGGGGCTTATTCGCGCAACTCTGCAAGATGAGTTGAGTGGCTCCGTAGAGTCTGTATTTTTTTCCATTGTGTTGCTAGCAAGGTGCGGCTGGGTAAGGTTTTCTGCTGCTGGGGTTGCTGGGGCATGTTTGACTTTACTAAAGAGGTTGAGTTCGAAGCACTATTATGTTGTTATATTACTTGTATACCTGTAGTTTATCAGCCTGCTACTGATAGTTTTTCTCTGGTCTTATGTTATTCCAGAAACAAATACTTTACATTCTTGTTAGGTGCCATTCATATAGCAGTTGCTTAGTTGTTTCTGATCACACCATTATTGAGGATGTTATCAACTTATGCTGGAGCTTGGTCACTTATGTCTGATCACCCTCTTATCATATTTTTTTCCCCTTTGATTTGGTTTAGTTTGACTGGGAAGGAGATCTGCCATTAAAGTTTCCACAGAGAGATCTTGTAATTTATGAAATGCACGTTCGTGGGTTTACAAAGCATGAGTCAAGTGGAACAGAATTTCCTGGTACATACCTTGGTGTCGTGGAGAAGCTGGATCACTTGAAGGTACATATTTGATAATCTTAATATAATTAACTTCATATTCTAGGGGGTCATGGATAGGCAAATTAATTCCTCTGACATGACTTTTCGATCTAATGCAGTGATAAGGAAAAAATGGAATCTGGGGTTGCGGGGGATCAAGGATGGATAGATAGTTACATTTGACTAACAATCCCGTGCTCGGGTTGGATAGTTAGGATAGGAAATCTAGGATTACAATTCATTAATTACCAAAGCCTCATGGTGTGGGTGACTTGAAGTTTCTTTTATGTAGAGGGAGGGAGATCAGTCTACTCTGAACCTTGGTTGTGAGTCTTGTGACTTATGAGGAGGTTATATGTTTACAGGAACAATCTTATTGCCATTCAACTATCCACCATTTTGCATTCTATAACTCAGATGAGAAATAAAGAGGGAATAGTGCCATTTCGATCTTATGTTGGAAATAGCATTTAAAGCATATGCCTTTTTATATTCCAGACTTTCCAGCAGCTTAACTTTTCATTTTCCTTTATGACTTTCAGTTTTCTTTTGTCCTTTAATGTATCATTTACTTCCCTATATATATGGGAGTCATAATGTATGATCTAATATGAGTAATACAAAAAGCTTCTCTTCCTAAATCAACATGGTATCAGAGCCCTGGGTATGGTCTGAAATTCCTTCTGCACGTGGAGGGGACTTTGAGCATATTTTCTGGTGAATCAATCTTCAAGGTGTTCGTCCCTCTCCAGCGAATTCCGGCGGTGAATAATTTCAGTAATTTTAATTTTTTCATCATGGTCGTAACAAGCAGTAGTGAAGAAACTCTTGTTCCCGTTTACGTCCCAAATCTTCACGGAAGAGGAGGAGGCCGTGGCAGAGGTATGCAACGTTTTTGTGATTATTGCAACAAGCCAGGACACACATGTGATCAATGTTGGAACCTACATGGGAAACCAGGTACGGTCAATGTAGCTGAAGTCAATAAGGAAGCTAAATGTTCCCATGTTCTCTCACAGTCTGAGTATGAAGATATCCAGCATTTAAAGGTTGCTCGAACCTCAATTACACCTGACAAAACTCATGTTTCCTTGGCCTCTCAGTCCAATCCTACTTGGATTTTTGACTCAGGTGCTACCGATCACATTTCTGGTAATCCTTCACTTTTTACATGCTTGACATTTTCCAATTCTCTTCCATCTGTTACCTTTGGTGATGGGTCAATTGGTAAAGCTATAGGAATTGGAAATGCCTCTCCACTCCCTTCTCTCTCATTATCCTCTGTATTGTATATTCCTAATTGCCCCTTCAACTTGATCTCTGTCCATAAACTCACTTCACATCTTAATTGTGAAATTATATTTTCCAATAAATCTGTGACTGTGCAGGACCGACAATTGAGGAAGACGATTGGCACAAGATATGAATCACAAGGGTTATATCATCTAGCCAACACTAATATTGTTTGCACTGCCACCACTACCACACCATTGCTTCTTCATAGTCGATTTGGTCATCCTAGCCTAAATAAGCTTCGTCAACTTATTCCTACAATGTCTAATGTTTCATCAATCGAGTGTGAGTCATGTCAGTTAGGAAAGCAATCTAAAGCTTCCTACAAAAATAGGATAAATAAACGAGCAGTTGCTCCCTTTTCTCTAATTCATACTGATGTATGGGGACCGAGTCGAGTTAAGTCTATCTTTGGATTTCAGTACTTTGTTACATTTATTGATGACTTTTCTCGTTGTACTTGGATCTATTTAATGAAAGATCGGTCTGAACTTTTCAGTATATCTCAAAAATTTGTCAATGAAATAAAAACTCAGTTTGGGGTGGTGATAAAAACCATTCGTCGTGACAATGCCAAGGAGTATTTTTCCGAATCCTTCTCTAATTTCTGGATAGTCATGGGGTCCTTCATGAATCTTCCTGTCCTGACACTCCTTAACAAAATGGAGTGGCTGAACGGAAGAATCGACACCTTGTGGAAACTGCCCGAACCATGCTTATTCATTACAAGGTACCTAAATACCTTTGGGGGGAAGCCATTCTTCACTCTTGTTATCTCATAAACCGCATGCCTTCTGATATACTACAAGGAAAGACTCCTTACAATGTTTTGTTCCCTGATGAACCTTTGCACCAATTACCTTTAAAGGTGTTTGGGTGCACTTGCTTTGTTCGTGATATCACTCCGGGAAGGGATAAACTCTCTCCTAAAGCTATCAAGTGTGTGTTCTTGGGATACTCTCGTCTTCAAAAGGGCTTTCGATGTTACTGTCCTACGTCAAAGCGTATGTATACATCTTTTGATGTCACTTTCTTTGAGTCTACTCCATATTTCTCTCATTCTTCTTCCCTTGACAAATCGAACTTTACTGATGAGTCTACAGAAATTGTCCCTATGCAGCCTTTCAAAGAACATGAACCCGTTCTGCCTGTCCCATACTTTCCTGAACCTGAACCTGCATCCCTGGCCATCCCTGAAAAAGTAACTCCCAGTGACATTCCAGAGAACCATATTATTGAGTTCCCTTATACCTATCACCGTCGACATCGTTCGAGTAAGCCTTACCATCATCCAACAGAAAAAGAAGATAGTAATCCGAGTGATTTATGTGCTGAGCCATCGTCACATCAAGAGTCAGCCCAAGAGATAACTAATGATCTTCCTATTGCCAGCATAATTGGTAAAAGATCCACTCGAAATCCTTATCCTATCTATAACTTCCTCTCATACAATCATTTGTCACCATCATATTGTGCCTTTATTACACGTCTCTCTTCTGTTTCTGTTCCTAAAAGTGTCAAGGAAGCATTGTGTCATCCAGGTTGGGAAAAGGCCATGCTTGATGAAATGGAAGCCCTTCACTCGTCAGGGACATGGGAACTTGTGCCTCTACCACCAAATAAACCTGTGGTCGGCTGCAGATGGTTATACACAGTCAAGGTTGGTCCTACTCGCATGATAGACCAGCTAAAAGCCAGGCTTGTAGCCAAAAGATACACACAAGTGTTTGGAATGGACTATACTGATACATTCTCCCCTGTTGCAAAAATAGCATCAGTTCGCACTTTACTGGCTATTTCAGCAATACGACAGTGGTCGTTACATGAATTGGATATAAAAAATGCATTCCTGCATGGAAATCTAAAGGAGGAGGTTTATATGGAACAACCTCCGGGATTCATTGCTTATGGGGGAGCTGATCTAGTTTGCCGCCTCAAACGCTCATTGTATGGGTTGAAGCAGTCCCCACGTGCTTGGTTTGGACGGTTCAGTGAAGTGGTACAAAAATTTAACATGATTCAAAGTAAAGTTGACCATTCTGTATTTTACAGAATCCAAAAAGGTCTTAATATCTATCTTGTGGTTTACGTGGATGATATTGTGATCACGGGTGATGACGTAGAGGGAATAAAACTTCTTAAGAAGCATTTATTTCAGCATTTTGAAACAAAAGATCTCGGCAAATTGAGATAATTTCTTGGTATTGAAGTTGCACAGTCAAAACAAGGTGTGTACATATCACAAAGAAAGTATGCTTTAGATATTCTTGAAGAAGCTGGTATGACAAACTGTAAGCCAATTGATACGCCGATGGATCCTAATGACAAGCTTCTACCGGGACAGGGGGAGCCTTTATCAAATCCTGGTAGATATAGAAGACTTGTTGGAAAACTTCTTTACCTCACTATTACACGTCCTTCATTTGCTGTAAGTGTTGCATGTCAGTTTTTACAATCACCGTGTGAGAGCCACTGGAATGCTGTTACTCGCATCTTAAGATACATTAAACAAGCACCAGGTACAGGGTTGTTATACCAGAATCACGGACACAGAAATTGTGGGCTATACTGACACGTAAATTTAACATGATTCAAAGTAAAGTTGACCATTCTGTATTTTACAGAATCCAAAAAGGTCTTAATATCTAACTTGTGGTTTACGTGGATGATATTGTGATCACGGGTGATGACGTAGAGGGAATAAAACTTCTTAAGAAGCATTTATTTCAGCATTTTGAAACAAAAGATCTCGGCAAATTGAGATAATTTCTTGGTATTGAAGTTGCACAGTCAAAACAAGGTGTGTACATATCACAAAGAAAGTATGCTTTAGATATTCTTGAAGAATCTGGTATGACAAACTGTAAGCCAATTGATACGCCGATGGATCCTAATGACAAGCTTCTACCGGGACAGGGGGAGCCTTTATCAAATCCTGGTAGATACAGAAGACTTGTTGGAAAACTTCTTTACCTCACTATTACACGTCCTTCATTTGCTGTAAGTGTTGCATGTCAGTTTTTACAATCACCGTGTGAGAGCCACTGGAATGCTGTTACTCGCATCTTAAGATACATTAAACAAGCACCAGGTACAAGGTTGTTATACCAGAATCACGGACACAGAAATTGTGGGCTATACTGACGCAGATTGGGCTGGCTGCCCATGGGATCGAAGATCCACCACAGGTTATTGTATACTTTTGGGTGGAAACTTGATCTCTTGGAAGAGTAAGAAACAAGATGTGGTGGCACGATCAAGTGCAGAAGCCGAATATCGTGCGATGGCTCTTGGATCATGTGAGCTAATTTGGGTTAAGAATCTTCTTTCCGAACTCAATTTCTGCAAATTCAGACCCATGAGGTTGATATGTGATAACCAAGCAGCCCTACACATTGCAACGAATCCAGTTTTTCATGAAAGAACCAAACATATAGAAGTGAACTGTCATTTCGTTAGAGACAAGATCAAATCTGGAGACATCATCACCACTTTTGTGAATTCAAAGGATCAATTGGCAGATGTGCTCACCAAGTCTCTTAGAAGACTGATAACACAAGGGGTGTAGAGTATTTTAATAAAGTGTATGTGAGGAGGGGAATGAAGGGACGGGAGTTTATGTGAGGAGGGGAATGAAGGGACGGGAGTTTATGTGAGGAGGGGAATGAGGGGGCAGGAGTAATTAATGTGCTGGTTTGATTTCTGAATATAAGGAAGGGAGGGGAATA